AGCCATGAAATGTTTATCAGGTACGCAGATGATGATGTCTCAGTGGTGAAACACATTTTCCACTTTTTTTTTTTTTTGGTACAAACCAGTATTAGCAAAAGTCTGGTCTTGAAAAATTTCAGTCTCACCATCTTACTTTGCAAGACCAGCTGTGATTCAAGAGTTCTTACATTGAGTGATGGAGGGCATATAAACCTGCTTCAAAAGTGGCCATCTTACAAAGAGTTTCATAACAGATTTCAAGAGTTTTGGTGGTGTGTTTTCTCTTAGTCAGTGAAATATACTGTGAATAAAAAGTTAAGCGCCACCCAGTATATTTTGCCAATATAGGTTGTCTCATAGGAAGGGCGGTGGGGTAGCCTAGTGGTTAAAGCGTTGGCTCGTCATGCCGAAGACCCGGGTTCGATTCCCTACATGGGCACAATGTGTGAAGTCCATTTCTGGTGTCCCCCGCAGTGATATTGCTGGAATATTGCTAAAAGCGGCGTAAAACTAAACTCAGTCAGTCAGTCAGTCAGTGTCTCATAGGAAATCTTTCAGAAAAAAACCCAACTAAGATCATTTGGTTTAGTACTTTTAGTTTAAAAACAAAACCATTATGGAAATTATCTTTTACTTTAAACAGGATATATGCGCTTTTGGAAAACATGCATTTTGTTTTCCTCAAAAAGGTTACCTTCTTTTGAAAAGTGAAACTCAGAAATGACTGTTATATGGTCACATGATTGTCATTTTTGACAAGTGAAACCTAAGTTTAATAGTGTTGTATAAGCAGAATACGAATAGTTATTTTGCTTTAAAAATCAGTGCCATCATATCTTTAACAATATTTTATGATATCTCTAAATCAGTTACCAGATGAACCTTCTCTAAATATGGATTGGTCTTCCCAATTATTTTAGCCTAACATTTCCACAGCTTCACATCTTAGTTTTGAAATAGGCTGGCGCTTAACTTTTTATTCTTGGTATATATACTGGATGAAAAGGAATAAAACATTCATTCATCTTCTGAATGAGATTACAACCAGATGGAAATATACTAGGCACAAGAAATAAGGGAACCCCCAAGTGGAATTTATAGTTGAAACAATGCTACATAAAAGTTGCAAGCTGATTGCATTCGAACCCAGATCGGAAATCACTTATGGCTGACACGAGAGTCAGCACCATATTACTTTTACATGATACACGTGCATCATGCACCACACGTGCATTCTAGCCTATAAAACTGACAGTAAGCGTGTCCCTCTATCTCTTGTGAAAATGCCACCTCGACAGTATCTGACAAACGCACAGAAATGGCAGGCCATTGGCATGATAGAGGGTGGACAATCTCAGAATAATGTTGCCCTGTTCTTCAGGAACCCCAAAAGCGTCATTTCCCGTCTCATCAACCTTTAACGTCAGACAGGGGGCGTTAAAATGAGGACCGGTCGAGGAAGACGCCCTAAAACCACCCCAGACAAGGCAACATCCTGAGAGCTATAGCTCTGAGGAATCGATTTGTCACAGCCCCGGATTTGAAGATGGAATTCTTCAGAACCACAGGAACACGGATTTCGAACTCTACTGTACGAAACAGGCTCCGTAGCAGAGGTCTTAAGTCAAGACGTCCATTCAATGGCGTGACGATGACAGCTAACCACAGACGTCTTCGTTATCGGTGGGCTCAGCAAGTCTCAGAGGAGAACCCATGGCGACATGTGACAGGAGTGATGAATCCCGCTTTTGTTTGCGATCACGGATGGACGCTTGCGTGGTCTGGGGAGGAATTTCTTTCAACAGGAGGACTGATGGAGCGCGGATTATCGTTGTCTGGGGAGTAATTTTCAACAGGCCAGCGGGGTAATTTAACATGGACGAGATCTTACGGCCACACGTGGTACCAATGGCTCACAAGGCAGGTCGAGAAATTTTGAGTTTCAGGACGATAATGCACCTCCTCAAAGAGCTCGTGTTGCCGTGAACTTCTTGCAACAAGGTGTTACAACTTTACCCTGGCCGGCTAAAACAAAAGATCTATCCCCTATCAAAAATCTGTGGGATGTGTTAGGGCGTCGAGTTCGTCTCAGGGAGCCTGCACCAGCAAATCTTGATGTGTTAGGTAGAGCACTGCAGCAAGAGTGGCATGTGATTCCAAGGGCGACAATTCAGCGGTTGGTGTCCAGCATGCCTGCAAGGTGTCGTGCATGTATTGCTGCTCATGGTGGACACGCTCGTTATTAAGCATATCTGACATACTTACCGTACGGTTGTGCTGATTAAATTATACATGCTTCACAAAGTGAAGGGGCTCCTTTATTTTGTGTGCCTAGTAAATGAGTGAGTGATGTCAAGCCTACTCCAGGTTGTCTGGGTGGAGGACATCTCCTTTTAAATGAGAATCACTGTGAGGACCCACATCCCATGACAAGAAGATACTAGCAGGTCTAACACCTTCACTTGTACCATTGCTGCCACATACATGATTGTCCTGAATGACCAACATCAAGAGGACATAAGGATTCAAACCCATGCTCAACAGTTCTGGCAGTTAAGGATGTAAATCTGCAGTTATTTGTGTCCTGGGTGGAAATGTTCAAGAAAAAACAAAACATCACACTTACTGTTTAAATGTTTATAACATATTGCACTTTATACAGGTTAAAAAGGCTTTAAGTTTTAAAATGTAAATATTTTAAAATCAAATAACAAAGCTGAAGCTGTCTTGTTACTTGGAATATTGCCATGGTAATTTGTAAATCAAGACAAGACCATCAAACTGATTATCTCATCAATACAAATTAAACTCATTTAAAACTCATTCTACCAAACTTCAACCCTCCATAAATCAAATGAGAACTTTATATATAAGGAAACTACAGGTGTCAAACAAATAAAAAATTATTTCATCTAACCCACATTTATGAAAAGACCATGTTACTTGCAACAGAGCCATTATATAGTTTTATAGTAAGTCATCACTAATGCATAAACACAACGTACACACACTTAAGGACAGAAATACAGAACATGCTATCTTTATATACTGAACAAAAATGTATATTTTTGCAAAATGTTGTGTTAAGTGTAGAAAGTAAAATAATTCAAGATGCCAAGGTGTTCAGTATATGGGGAAGTCCATGTATCGTTTTGAATTATCTACATCTGATATTGATCTGCTTCTGATAAATGGCTAAGATAGCACCAATGACTTCTAAAACACTGGCACAAGACATCTTGTGCCAGATACTGAAGCATTTCATGACAATTTGTATACAAAAACAATGTATTCTGTCAGAACATAACCTAGGCCCCTGTTCCACAAAGCAAACTTAGGACAAAGGTGATGGTACTCGCATACTTTGACCTAGACTTATGACCCTCTGTGGAACAGGACCCACGAAACCTTTGGAGATATATATATAGCGGTGTTTAACTATTATTGTGTGTCTTGCTGACAAACACAAGCACAAAAGACATGCAATATACAAAATATCAGCATGGTTCAGATGTTTGTTTGATGCTGCACACAGCAATATTCCAGCAACATAGAAGAATCCTGTAACTAGTCAAAGCTGGACCAGACAAACCACTCACTCCTGGCTCGAACAATTAAAAAATCTGCACTCGCCTTGTAGGGCGAGTAATATGAACTTCCTACTCGTCCTTCTAAAATTGTACTTTCCCTATAGATCATGCATCACAATGTACATTTAAATTATTCTATTTCAAAATGTTTGCATGGAATAAAACTACAATAAACATTACTTACTATGTCTTCTGTACAAAATCTGTACAAAATCTTTGACAAAATTGAATTACTTTTGGATCACCACTTTAAGACAGCTGAACTTCAAGGGGAAAAAAATAGTTAGCCCTTTTGGATCAGAGCTTTAACCAAGGCTACCCACCGCCCTGGATAAACGTTTGACTCTGCTTTGGTCCTCTTAGGACAAGCAATGTACTATGCATTGTTTGGTTTTTCATCTTACATTGTTTAATAACCACCATAATCATTGTGCCCAGGTTTTCTTCAGAGCTGGAAGTTACTGAGACCAGTTTTAATCAGGGTTTTCCTCTAAACTTAAGCTGTAACTGAAAACTAGGGGTGAACGGTATACCCTGGTATTAGTAGAACTGCTGTATTTTGCCTTCGGTTTGGTATACCATAATCCAATCCAAAAATTTGGTATATGTTTAAAGAACAAAACTGTCATTTTATGACTAGATAGAAGAACGGTATGGAAACTGATATTCCGAATTTTTGGATTGCATTACAGTAAAAAATTGGCTTAAATTGTTGCACCCTTCCCTCACTGCATTAAAACATGTCAAGAGTATGTGGGTATGGCTGCAAAACCTCTACCCCTTCAGTGTACTGTAACCATTGTAGCCCTCAACAAGACAGAAGTTGTATGTGCAATGCTATATATAATATATTTCAACACAAAGATGGAAGTCACCTACAATGTTCTTTTTCTGCATATTATTACTGCATACAATCAGTCAGAGTTATTTACATATGTACAAAGTCATCCATAAAAATAGTGACATGTATTTCAGAACTACATACATACATATCTATAAAAAAGCACTATGATCTACGATCTGTTTTATCATATAACCACTAGATACATATATAGCATGCAGTGGGTTAACAAAATCATCATCCATGACCACTGCCTAATGTTGGAGACATAATAAAGGTTGGGCTCGATTAGGTGGGAATAGGGAGGGCAGGCCGGGTAGCAGGAATGACACATAACAGGGGCAGATCCAGCTTTTTCAGAAAGGGGGTTGCACAGTTCATTTTCACCCTTTTCAGAAGAGTTTCAATGGTCATTTAGCGCGCATGTGCGAGGCGCGCGCACAGACGCACACACACACACCTCCAAAGATCTGCCTACACATTAGCTCTGCCATTATAGAATGCTTGTCTTCCACCAAGTTTAGTCCACACCTGGCTGCCATTGTGACCACTGGATCCCCGTTTCAGTGATAACTGGAGACAGGCAATTGGTTCTGTAGGCCTTCACTGAGGTGACTCCTGTGGAGTGTGCACATAGTTCTGGTGGGGACACTGGCCACATCGGCTCTGTCATTACAAACAGTTTGTCTTCCTCTTCCCTCAAGTTTCATCCATATCTGGCAGTCACTGTGTCATGCAGATCCCCATTTTGGTCACCAAGGATATCAGTATTGGCACAATAAAATGTTCCAGTCTTACAATTTATGTAAACCTTTCCAGAACATCATCTAGAGCATGATTTGGCCTGAAGAGGGCACTGGATTTCTCCAGCTCAGATAGGTCACTGATTGATCGGACAATCTTCTCGGAGTCTGTGACGTTATTTTGAACACTTCTGCGAGTTGATCGCCTGACAGGTGTCACAACAGGCTGAGTAAGTTGAGGGGTGCTGATACTAGCGGCACGTTTCCTGTGGACAGAGAAGAGTGAATGAGGGAGACTTGGGTAATAGACTTCAGTAATATTCCAGTTTTATCACAGAGGTTGAGCTTAATGAGCGGAAACACCAAAGTGATGCATATATCAGATGCTTACCACTTGGTGATACCCGGGGGCGGTGGGGTAGCCTAGTGGTTAAAGCGTTAGGCTCGTCACGCCGAAGGCCCGGGTTCAATTCCCCACATGGGCACAATGTGTTAAGCCCATTTCTGGTGTCCCCCGCCGTGATATTGCTGGAATATTGCTAAAAGCGGCGTAAAACTAAACTCAGTCAGTCAGTGGTGATACCCACAAGAACTGGTATGGTGTTGCCATGATCAGGTCGAGCCGGGATTCAAACCCAGTGTCCCTACACAAAATCTTACCATTGTCAGGCAAGAGTTATCTGAGCTTGACACAGATTTATATATGGTTGGAGAAAGATTCCGAGTAGCTACAAGTTACATACATTGACAGATAATCCATCTGTCCTGCTGCTTACCTTTTCTTGAATGGAGTGACATTAGCAACAGAGTACTGTATAGAAAATGGTGCTTCCACATCCAGCTCTTCAGATTGGACACGTTCTGTCTGCCTCAGCTCATCAAATACACCATCATTGTCGCCCTGTGAGTTCTTGTCCTCCTTTGTTTCCATGTCCTCCTTTGTTTCCATGTCCTCCTCCATGTCCTGCCCTGTAATGTCTGCCCCCTGTGTTCCTCCTTGTTCTGCTGTGTCGATGATGACAGCCTGACTGGTCCCCATGGCCACCATCTCCATGACTATGCTTGTGTTGAGGGCTGCCAGGTCAGACGAAGGCTGCAGGCATCATGAATTAGGTCATTGTATATGATGGTGCAAAAACATTTCTCAAAACTGATAATTATTACAACGGTGGGCGAGCTGGCTAAAGGGCAGGCTAGTGATCCAGTGAGCATGAGCATGAGGTGCCGGGATCGAGACCACATGTGACCGGGTGTAAAAACCTTGGAGTCAACTTTGTGTGCAGACTCTTTCAGTGTTGTCACAACCCCTAGTGCACAGTACATAACCCTGTGCACTTAAAAGAACCCACGAATCCGTTGGTATATGACCAGATGGTGGCCACATGAATACGTGCAAACACCTAGTTGCGGGTATAGCAAAGTGCAGTAAACTTGGACAAAGTACTGTGACTATGTGTCCCAGTCCACCCAGCTGTCAATGGGTACCTCGTTAGGATGGGAAAGCCGCAATAACTCGGTGCGCCTAGTCGCTGCAAGAGTTGTATGATCCCCAGGGAGTTGAGATTGATAAAAAGATGTGCCGTTGAGATTGACATCCAATGATCGAGGGAAAAAACTACCAGCGCCTTGAGCATGCACTCGTGCGTGGATATGTGCGCTATATAAATATCCAATAATAATAAAAAATAAAAAATAAATTATTACAACCTAGGATGAACTATCATAGTTCCGAAATCGCCTTATGTTTGCAGGTTCCCTTCAATGGCTTACAGACTACATATCAATTTACAGAGTATTATAAACTAAAATATACAACAGAAATTGCTAAAGAAATGTGGAACACTTACCTGTGCCGAGTTGCTGATGGCCTGAGCCATGACCTCAACAATATCGGCTGGACTTCCTTCTCGCTTGACCGTGTCCACTTTACACCTGTAGAAGGGGGTGTAGTGGCGGGCCTGGGGAATGTTGTCGTAGATGCTCTGTAGCCAGGGAAGTAAAGTGTCCGTTGGGCAGCCCTAGGGGAAACAAACAACAGCGAGGAATGACACTTCTATACAAACAGTGAAAACTGCTGGAAACTATTCTGCCTGTGGACACTTGCGAACCTACTCTGCTCTGGCATCCTACCAGCTGTATAGAATACCTGGAACTCATACTGGCCTCAATTCCATACACTTGTTGTGAAAACTAGGAACTATTCTTTCTTGCAGTCTCTTAGCAGTCGGAGCTTTTTCCGCCAAGGAATCTCAACAGAAATATAGAGTGCCTATTTTGACCCACTATTCCTTTGGAAGTGTCTTTATTCCTATAGCATCTGGACCGCAGACTCCACTGAGGGTATGGTGAGCAGGTACTCATTCTGTCCCAGTATCTGATCGTGGGTATGGAGAACAAGGACCTCATTATGACCCTACCCTTTTCTGGAACAGCGATATGGGGATAACTCTATTCCACAATCACATTAGGGGTACAGAGATAAGGGACCTATTCTGTCCCATAATTACATTAGGGGTACAGAGATAAGGGACCTATTCTGTCCCATAATTACATTAGGGGTACAGTGATAAGGGACCTATTCTGTCCCATAATCACATTAGGGGTACAGAGATAAGGGACCTATTCTGTCCCATAATCACATTAGGGGTACAGTGATAAGGGACCTATTCTGTCCCATAATTACATTAGGGGTACAGAGATAAGGGACCTATTCTGTCCCATAATTACATTAGGGGTACAGAGATAAGGGACATATTCTGTCCCATAATCACATTAGGGGTACAGAGATAAGGGACCTATTCTGTCCCATAATCACATTAGGGGTACAGTGATAAGGGACCTATTCTGTCCCATAATTACATTAGGGGTACAGAGATAAGGGACCTATTCTGTCCCATAATTACATTAGGGGTACAGAGATAAGGGACCTATTCTGTCCCATAATTACATTAGGGGTACAGTGATAAGGGACCTATTCTGTCCCATAATTACATTAGGGGTACAGAGATAAGGGACCTATTCTGTCCCATAATTACATTAGGGGTACAGAGATAAGGGAACTATTCTGTCCCATAATTACATTAGGGGTACAGAGATAAGGGAACTATTCTGTCCCATAATTACATTAGGGGTACAGAGATAAGGGACCTATTCTGTCCCATAATTTCATTAGGGGTACAGAGATAAGGGACCTATTCTGTCCCATAATCACATTAGGGGTACAGAAATAAAGGAACTATTCTGTCCCATAATCACATTAGGGGTACAGAGATAAAGGACCTATTCTGTCCCATAATTACATTAGGGGTACAGAGATAAGGGACCTATTCTGTCCCATAATCCCATTAGGGGTACAGAGATAAGGGACCTATTCTGTCCCATATTTACATTAGGGGTACAGAGATAAGGGACCTATCCTGTCCCATAATTACATTAGGGGTACAGAGATAAGGGACCTATTCTGTCCCACAATTACATTAGGGGTACACAGATAAGGGACCTATTCTGTCCCATAATTACATTAGGGGTACAGAGATAAAAGGGAACTATTCTGTCCCATAATTACATTAGGGGTACAGAGATAAGGGACCTATTCTGTCCCATAATTTCATTAGGGGTACAGAGATAAGGGACCTATTCTGTCCCATAATCACATTAGGGGTACAGAAATAAAGGAACTATTCTGTCCCATAATCACATTAGGGGTACAGAGATAAAGGACCTATTCTGTCCCATAATTACATTAGGGGTACAGAGATAAGGGACCTATTCTGTCCCATAATCCCATTAGGGGTACAGAGATAAGGGACCTATTCTGTCCCATATTTACATTAGGGGTACAGAGATAAGGGACCTATTCTGTCCCATATTTACATTAGGGGTACAGAGATAAGGGACCTATTCTGTCCCATAATTACATTAGGGGTACAGAGATAAGGGACCTATTCTGTCCCATAATTACATTAGGGGTACAGAGATAAGGGAACTATTCTGTCCCATAATTACATTAGGGGTACAGAGATAAGGGACCTATTCTGTCCCATAATAACATTAGGGGTACATAGATAAGGGAACTATTCTGTTCCATAATTACATTAGGGGTACAGAGATAAGGGACCTATTCTGTCCCATAATCACATTAGGGGTACAGAGATAAGGGAACTATTCTGTCCCATAATTACATTAGGGGTACAGAGATAAGGGAACTATTCTGTCCCATAATTACATTAGGGGTACAGAGATAAGGGAACTATTCTGTCCCATAATTACATTAGGGGTACAGAGATAAGGGACCTATTCTGTCCCATAATAACATTAGGGTACATAGATAGGGACCTATTCTGTTCCATAATTACATTAGGGGTACAGAGATAAGGGACCTATTCTGTCCCATAATCACATTAGGGGTACAGAGATAAGGGAACTATTCTGTCCCATAATTACATTAGGGGTACAGAGATAAGGGAACTATTCTGTCCCATAATTACATTAGGGGTACAGAGATAAGGGAACTATTCTGTCCCATAATTACATTAGGGGTACAAAGATAAGGGACCTATTCTGTCCCATAATTACATTAGGGGTACAGAGATAAGGGAACTATTCTGTCCCATAATTACATTAGGGGTACAGAGATAAGGGAACTATTCTGTCCCATAATTACATTAGGTGTACAGAGATAAGGGAACTATTCTGTTCCATAATTACATTAGGGGTACAGAGATAAGGGACCTATTTTGTCCCATAATTACATTAGGGGTACAGAGATAAGGGAACTATTCTGTCCCATAATTACATTAGGGGTACAGAGATAAGGGAACTATCCTCTTTCAGAATCATGTAAGGAGTATTGATAACAGGGACCTATTCTGTCCCATGTTTTAGCCTTGGGGAAGTGGAAACTGACCGACTCAACAAGATGGTGACACTCCTGGAGTATGGCGTCCAGCTGTTCCAGGACACCCTTCTCCACAACCTGGCTGGGTCTTCTCTTCTTGTCCTCCACAGCAGCAGCCTCGAACAGAGATGTCAGATTCTGGCAGACATTGTCTTCTTTGGCCATCTTCTTTTGCTGTATTGAGTAACAAAAATTCCTTTATCAGAACTGTGATTTGTTTTGTAAAAAGACACTCAGGAATGAGAATGAGTGAAAAAGAGGAAAATGAGCCAGGGGTGTTGGGGGCTGCTGGTTTTGACGATTCACAAGAATGACCCCTCCAAGATCAAATCCGCAGGTCATCCCTGGACATTACAATTATAGCTGTCTCAGTAATATGATACATAAAAAAGCAAAGATCATTTTTGTTCATGATTAGTATAGCACTACTCGCCTGAAGTAGCTATGTGACAATACTTAATACGACATGTATTCACATGACTATAGAAACTCTGTCATAAAGTTGATATATGATTATAGTGAACCCGAGATGATATTTGATGACTATAGTTAATCCAGCATAATGCTTTCATTAGACTACTGTTAATCAGTCATGATGTTTGTGTTAATCTGTCATGACAGAATGAAAAAGAAATATCCTGATTTCTTTTATTTCTTTTGAGTAGTATATTTTTAACTGACTGACTGACTGAGTTTGGTTTTACGCCGCTTTTAGCAATATTGTATTCAAGCAATATCACGGCGGGGGACACCAGAAATGGGCTTCACACAATGTACCCATGTGGGAATTCGAACCCGGGTCTTCGGCGTGACGAGCCAACGCTTTAACCACTAGGCTACCCCACCGCCCCAGTATATTTTTAATATTCTAACTGAGCAAAACAGAACACACCTATGAGTTTGTTTAATTGAAGTGAGATCTGTTTGATTTGGTTTGTTTGTTATTGAACACCGCACTCAGCAATATTCACACTATATGGCAGCGGTCTGTAAATAATCAAGTCTGGGTCATACAATCCAGTGATTAACAGCATGCACATCGATCTACACAATTGGGATACGATGACATGTGTCAACCAAGCCAGCAAGTCTGATCACCAAACCCTGTTAGTCAACTCTTACGACAAGCATGGGTTGCTGAAGACCAATCCTAACCTGGATCTTCACATGTAATTTAAGTGTAAAAAGAGATCACATACATGTACATGTTGAATGAAAGAACAGTTAAAGCAGGCTGCAGATATTGTATTCTCCGTTGACACCAATAAGCACAAGTATGGTGCGGATATCCATGGACCGAATTCCACACACATACAGAAGCTGACCCCATAAACCAACAGAACATCACAGTAACTATGTGAGGCCCCAGACATCGGTGCCCATATCCTAGTGGTTAAAGCATTTACTCATCACGCCAAAGTCCCATACATGATTCCCCACATAGGCAAAATATGTGAAGCCCATTTCTGGTGTCCTTGTCGTGATATTGCTGGAACTTTGCTGGAAGTTGCGTAAAACTATACTCATTCACACAGACATGCGCTTATTTCAATGTACAGGTGAGGTGAGGTGAAATTGGGTTTAACGTCGTACTTGAGAATATTTCACTCAAATGACGACATGCATGCGCGTGTATGTGTATGTGCGGCTGCTTGTACTAGCCCAGACTGAAGCTGGTTTTATAGTGCTAGCCCACTGAGATACCATGCCGCAGTGAAGCATGAATACCCCACTCAGACACATTATACTGACTCCGAGCCGACCAGTCCTTGTTGTACCCATTAATGCCGAGAGCCAGGCAGGGACCAACAAGTACCATATTTTAAAGTCTTTTGGTATGACGCGGTCGGGATATCAAACCCGCGACCTTCCGCTCTCCAGGTGGACGCTCTAACCACTACACCACGGAGGTGGTCTCAATGTACAGAGTTCAGTTTGTTGCTATTTCTCCACGTTTATTGGTGTATGAGGTAAACTGAGCTCCAGTACCTGTAACGACAGCTCCTTAATGGTGATAGACCTCTTCAACTGGGAATCCTGTTTCTTCCTCTCCGACATAGCTGCGTCAAAACACATCAGGTGTCGGAACTTGGAGGGAGTCTTCCCCTTTGCTTCCAGCCACATGTTCAACTTTTGTCTGTCAACATACATGTGGGTATAAGTGATACATTTACATTGTGGAGTCAGTGTTTCAAACAGTGTCATCAAAGTAAATGTCTCAAATTATAGCAGGGTCATGGTAATCCTAGCAAAGTGCCATTTTACCCTCAAGTCTAAACAAGAGCATTAAATAGTGATCAACTTGTTCAGATAATGACTTGAGTGTGTTGAGTAATCCTCAGCACAGACATGGTACATCCATGCTTGTCCTATTATGGAACAAAAACAAACAGCAATGCCACGTCCATGAAGTGATCTATGATATCCATGCACATGTATGGAATTTTATTTTTCTTTCAGGCCTTTAAATGACTTAGGACTGACATGGTGATCAGAATGGGGTATGTAAAGATATTTTAGAATAATGCTTAGAAAGAACTTTTGGATGATGTGCTATATATATCAATACAAATATCAAAACGAAGGTCTACTTAGTTGTGACCTGGTCATAAGATTACAACTAGGGCTGCAAGGATTCGGTTCGATTCATTGAAAATCGAATCTGACATCTTAGTTTCGATTTTCAATAACCATTATCACTATTTCAATTTGATATTTGAATGTCTATTTCAATTGTTTCCACACAGCAAGAACGTAATTTCTAATCAAATTCCACATGATTGGTTGACGCTGGGCTATTATCCAATGAGCATTGTCGTTAGTAGACATCGCCAAGTTGACAATGGATTTCACACTAAGTAAGCAGACTCACTTGAACTGAGAATTAAATCAAATCTGATGTTTTTACTTGTATGCAGAATCGAATCGAAAATGATCAAATCGAGGGTCCAATATCGAAAATTGAATTGAATTGAGGTCTGGGTGAATTGTTGCAGCCCTAATTACAATTTACAACAGAATCATTTCTAACATTGACTGCAAATACCTCATTGAGTCACTGCTACATGCATCCTTTGTCTTCACTGGGGTCTTCCTGAATGTTGCATGCTCCTGAACGGTGTGTGGGAAGGGCTAAGGAACTTCACATGGGCTGGCCCACAGGAGCTGGCTGGGTCCCTGGATGAAGGGAGAGTTTTAACATCGGTCTCGGACTTCACTGCCATAGCAAGCACACAGGACTTCCTCTTCAAGATTCCCACAGGTCTCTTGGACATGCCTGCCGACAGTCGTCTTCTCGTGCCAAGACTTTGACGACGAATATCGTTGTGTGGAAGTGTTTTTTTAATAGTGTTGCCAGGTTGTTGCCGTTGTTTGGTTGAACCTACCACTAAGACGGGTTTCCTCACTGACACCTTGGCGACCTTTGGCGCCACCTTCTTGGCAGTTTCATTGGCCTGAGTTGGCTTGACCATTCCACGATAGGACTGTCCCACCCTGGTGCCAGGCACAGGTTTGGAGGTTTGAACAGAGAAAGTAGCTCTTCTTTCCAAGCGTTTGGGAACCACGTGAAGTTTGGAGTTCTCATCCTTCTTCTGTACAGAATTTGGGGCAGAGTTAGCAGGAGGTCTTCTCATCACCCGCGTCCTTGAGCTGAGAGTTGTGTAAAGGTCAAAAGTCAGTAACAGATACATGTTTAGGTGATATAATGCCACATTACTAGTTAGTTGAAATAATGCCACATTACTAATTAGTTGATATAATACTCCATTACTAGTTAGTTGATATAATACTGCATTACTAGTTAGATGATATGCCACATTACGAGTTAGTTGATATAATGCCACATTACTAGTTCGCTGATATAATGCCACATTACTAGTTCGCTGATATAATGCCACATTACTAGTTAGTTGATATAATGCCACATTACTAGTTAGTTGATATAATGCTATATTACTAGTTAGTTGATATAATGCCACATTACTAGTTAGTTGATATAATGCTGCATTACTAGTTAGTTGATATAATGCCACATTACTAGTTAGTTGATATAATGCCACATTACTAGTTCGCTGATATAATGCCACATAACTAGTTCGCTGATATAATGCCACATTACTAGTTAGTTGATATAATGCCACATTACTAGTTAGTTGATATAATGCCACATTACTAGTTCGCTGATATAATGCCACATTACTAGTTCGCTGATATAATGCCACATTACTAGTTTTGCTGATATAATGCCACATTACTAGTTAGTTGATATAATGCCACATTACTACTTAGCTGATATAATGCCACATAACTACTTCGCTGATATAATGCCACATTACTAATTAGTTGATATAATGCCACATTACTAGGTAGTTGATATAATACTGTATTACTAGTTAGTTGATATAATGCATTACTAGTTCGCTGATATAATGCCACATTACTAGTTAGTTGATATAATGCCACATTACTAGTTAGTTGATATAATGCCACATTACTAGTTCGCTGATATAATGCCACATTACTAGTTAGTTGATATAATGCCAAATTACTAGTTCGCTGATATAATGCCACATTACTAATTAGTTGATATAATGCCACATTACTAGGTAGTTGATATAATACTGTATTACTAGCAAGTTGATATAATGCCACATTACTAGTAAGTTGATATAATGCTGCATTATTAGTTCGTTAATATAATGCCACATTACTAGTTCGTTGATATAATGCCACATTACTAGTTAGTTGATATAATGCCACATTACTAGTTAGTTGATATAATGCTGCATTACTAGTTAGCTGATATAATGCCACATTACTAGTTAGTTGATATAATGCCACATTACTAGTTAGTTGATATAATGCCACATTACTAGTTCGCTGATATAATGCTGCATTACTAGTTCGCTGATATAATGCCACATTACTAGTTAGTTGATATAATGCCACATTACTAGTTTGCTGATATAATGCCACATTACTAATTAGTTGATATAATGCCACATTACTAGGTAGTTGATATAATACTGCATTACTAGTTAGTTGATATAATGCCACATTACTAGTTCGCTGATATAATGCCACATTACTAGTTAGTTGATATAATGCCACATTACTAGTTAGTTGATATAATGCTGCATTACTAGTTAGCTGATATAATGCCACATTACTAGTTAGTTGATATAATGCCACATTACTAGTTAGCTGATATAATGCCACATTACTAGTTTGTTGATATAATGCGACATTAGTAGTTAGCTGATATAATGCTGCATTATTAGTTAGTTGATATAATGCCACATTACTAGTTCGCTGATATAATGCCACATTACTAGTTAGTTGATATAATGCCACATTACTAGTTAGTTGATATAATGCCACATTACTAGTTAGTTGATATAATGCCACATTACTAGTTCGCTGATATAATGCTGCATTATTAGTTAGTTGATATAATGCCACATTACTAGTTCGTTGATATAATGCCACATTACTAGTTAGTTGATATAATGCCACATTACTAGTTAGTTGATATAATGCCACATTACTAGTTCAGTTGATATAATGCCACATTACTAGGTAGTTGATATAATGCCACATTACTAGTTAGTTGATATAATGCTGCATTACTAGTTAGTTGATATAATGCCACATTACTAGTTAGTTGATATAATGCCACATTACTAGTTAGTTGATATAATGCCACATTAGTAGTTAAGCTGACATAATGCCACATTATTAGTTAAGCTGATATAATGCCACATTACGAAAGTTAGTTGATATGCCACATTACTAGTTAGTTGATATAATGCCACATTACTAGTTAGTTGATATAATGCCACATTACTAGTTAGTTGATATAATGCCACATTACTAGTTTGTTGATATAATGCCACATTACTAAAAAGTACTGTCGGAAATGCTAGAAAAATGCTTTTAGCCTTAATATCTTGATAAAGGTGATAAATGTACTATGTTGCCAATATATCAACTCGCCTATTGTCTACCTAATTTTCTTTCAATCGATTTAACATTCCCATGCATTTAAAGGGCAGTTTACAGGAGAGAATTTGGTACCTAAACAGCAACTTAAGATTTTTTCAGAGTTCAACAACAGAAATCTGAAATAGTCTTTACATTTATGCTAATAATACAGGTGGTGTCAAAATATGAATTAACGTTTTTTCTAAACAAATAAATGTTGAATGTTTGTGTTACTTTACTTAATTATCGTTTCTTTATTGAAGACATTTTAATATAAATGTTAAGTCTTGATAAATAAGTTTCCCGTCATGCATGCACATCTTTATCACAGCGTCCACTATGGCCAATGATTTGCAGTCGATTGTTGCAAAGGTTTATAGTTTTTTTCTGCTTAAAAAAAGACAGAGGTAAACCTTTCATTAGTTTAGAAAGGGTTTCACGTATTACAGAACTTATAGAGCTGTTGGCATGTCTTACCAACAAGTTTACAATATTGTAAACAAATCAGACAAAACAGGGACCGTCTCAAATGCAAAACCGGGACATAAAACCATCCTTGACAACTTTGACAAGGGAGTGCTTAGGCAGGCGGTCTACAAACTTTATGAGAAGAAAAATATATATATTCTTAAGAAGCTACACCAGTGACTTCGTTAAATCTTTGGCCAATGTTCACAACTAGATTAAACTGACTGAATTACATCCATATTTTTCAATGAAATATACTGTTGACATGCAAAACATTTATCAAAATGTTGCACATTTCTACAATCAATCGATAAGATAACACAAGTGATTGGATTCTTTCCAATGTACAGTAATTCAGTATGTTTATTTCAAAACAAACACACATACACAAATGATCCCTTACATAACCGATCATCGTGATACTATCGTGACACATATTCAACGTTTTTGCAGAAAACATCTATTGAGATGACCCTCAGCGAAAGGTGTGCTCAGGTGTCAATTTCACCTATCGACATCGTGTGCATGCTGATGAGTAACACAGGCAATTAATGTTTGTATCAAATAGCGCCCCACTACCCCTTATTTTTTTCTAAGTTTTTGGTAATTTCATCAGTAAAAACACATTTTAGGGCATGTCTCAAACTTTATTCCCTCGGTCTACATTAGGTAGATGTTTCCTGAAATGATATTTGTTATTTAAGTAACTGTAATACCTCTGAATTTAAATATAAGTCAAAAGCATTTTTCTAGCAATTCCGACAGTACTTTAGTTAGTTGATATAATGCCACATTACTAGTTAGTTGATATAATGCCACATTACTAGTTAGTTGATATAATGCCACATTACTAGTTCGCTGATATAATGCTGCATTATTAGTTAGTTGATATAATGCCACATTACTAGGTAGTTGAAATAATGCCACATTTCAGGAGTACAGTATAACATATAACTTAAATGTAAGGTACAAGTGACATTTAGCCACTTATAGTATGTGGGGTTTTGTTACCATGGTGGACAAAACCTCACAAAGTTAGTTATTTAAATGTCACTGAGCTTCCTAAGTTACATGTTTAATTGAAGAAACTTCAGTAAATGAATACGCTTATTCAATAGCATAACTCAGAAAGTTCTTTAATATTTACATGGCCTTGGTCTTATCTGTGTCTTTACTGTCCATTTTCCACTGAGAAAGTCTGTCCCTGGAAAGTAAACAATCATAACAATCACAATAGTGCAACCCCTCTATAAGCTGATCTGGAGGCACAATAAACATTCCTGTGCAGGCTAGTAATTCTTTCCATTTGATATGTATAAGATTTGGGTATAAAAAATAGATGTGATCGTCAGAGCTAAGATTTACATTATCCCTGCAATGAATTATAAAACCATCATGTAAGTAATAATCTAAAATGAGTCAGAATCTCATTTTCTCACAAGACCAGACTAATCTCATTTTGGCAAATTGTCTGGGTTGAGGATGGAGGAGGCCAATGAGGGTCAAACTTGATCTGAAGACACCGAAACCAGTAACAATGACTTCTTCAATATATAGACCGCCTCCGTGGTGTAGTGGTTAGAGCGTCCGCCCGGAGAGCAGAAGGTCGCGGGTTTGACCCCCGTCCGCGCCATACCAAAAGACGTTAAAATATGGTACTTGTTGGTCCCTGCCATGCCTCGGCATTAATGGGTACAACAAGGACTGGTCGGCTCGGGGTCAGTATAATGTGTCCGAGTGGGGTATTCATGCTTCACTGCGGCATGGTATCTCAATGGGCTAGCACTGTAAAACCAGCTTAAGTCTGGACTAGTACAAGCAGCCGCATTATGAAAAATCAGGTGTTCTTGAATATTTTTAGAAGAATACTTCGGACAGTTTCTGGTGATAAGACAATGGTACCTTAGTGAAATATCCCCTCTATCTTTTGTGAAAGTACCTCTTTGGTTTAGGAACATTTGTCTACCATGGTCCAGTGAGCATATGCAAACATAGCCATCATTCTTATTCTCTAATGCATTGCTACCTAAATAAGTTGGTGCCTAATCACTTCATGGTAACATATGTTATATTTGGGATTACACTTTCTCAGTAAAGTACAGATTCTAGTACTTTTTGGGGCGGAGTCCCATCTGGGATTCAAACCCACACCCTCCGAGTCAGGCACCTAATCGCCAACACACAAAGTTAGCCATCTAACCCGCTCAGCCACCGTGTCAGCCATACTTTACTGAGAAAGTGTAATCCCAAATATAACATATGTTACATTTGACAACTTTCTAAATGACATTATGTATTCACACCTCATGGTAAGCTGATCTTGATTCTTTGGCACATTTGTCTCGATGTGGACAGGTTTGGGAGGATCAACTTCACACATCTCAAGGGAATAGGTTCAGGATGGGTGACTTGGTCATTGTCCACGGCTGCAGGAAGGGTTGGTTCATCCGAGTCAGGCTGTGTACCTTCACTGGGTTCATCCAGCTGCTGAACAACGCCATCCGATCTGTCCCCTGTATCTAGCCCATCCACGACAACAGCCTGTGTCTCATTCTTTACACCGGGTTTGAGTTGGACTGCATCTGACTTCTTTTCAGACTCTTTCACATTTCTATTTCAAAATACAAAAATTGGAATTATTGGTTCTAAGTGTTGTGTATACATGAGTGTACAAAAGGCATGTCATGATTAACAAAGCATCGCATAGCCAGAGGATATACACTGTATGATGAGGTTTTGTTTAAAGGGGAAGTGTACACGAAATTTAACCTTTTTGTCTTCCACTTTTTCATCATAAGAAATGTTTGTCAAGTAGTTTTATAACCCAAACAATACCGATATCAGAAGTAACTAAGTTACTTTTTGGGTTATATCAATTCAAAGTTTCCACATTAACGGAATGTTCTATGTCCACAATGAACACACCATGGCTTATGTCCCTTGGAAATGACGTCATTGGTGCCCAAATGATAAACGAATGACGTCGTTAGACCTTATTAGAACCATTTCATGGGGTGCAGGTATAGGTGTGGTTCTTGTGTCTCGATGCGCATTCTACTGTTATAATCCACCTGTTGCCTGGTCGTCAGCTGGCTATGTGGTCGTCGGTTCCACACTGTTACATTGTACAAAAAGTTTTATCACTTAACCAAATTGTATAACATTCAACCTGAGTCGGTTGACTTTCCAATCGACTTCCTTCACCAAAACTCAAACGTTCATAATAATATGCACTACATATACTAGCGTGCCATCGGTGAATGTGAAGGCATTCTACGTTTGGTACATTCCTACATTTAAATCGTACAATATATGTCCGTCCTCTTCAACCTTCAATTTGATGTCGAAACCATATCCAAATACATCACAAAGATCAAAATTTCTATGATATCATCCGCTCATTGCAGGGAAAATTTAGTGAAAATTACATGGATCGTAAATCTAGGCAGTCTTGACACTAAATCACAATTCATTGCGTTTTTCGTAATTCTTACTTTAAAGGTCGAATTTTACTGGGAGAATTAGTGGGTTTTTTTGGTTTTTTACAAATCCTGTATAATTGTGATCACCGGTATCTTTTGTTGTTTGTTGGAATCACCAATTCTGAAACATCATCAATTAACCAAGAATCGCTTTGAATATTTTGGAAAATACGCAAACGTCGTTCAAAGTGAATTTTCAGACAGTCTTTATAAAATTACGTCACACATATGTCGGTTATGTATTGCCCATTACATCACAACTATAATTCAAACCCATCTTCCTTACATGAATCCTTGAATTCCTCATACAGATCAAAATAATATGACAAATGGTCTTGTCACCAAAACCAAGTATCTCAGTGAAATCTAGCAAAATATATCAAGTGTCGCGCTGTGAAAGTACCACTCATTTGAAATGTAAACAAAGCCCGTCTCCTGCAGATTTTACACTGTGTATCGTTTTCTCATACTATGAGTGATCCAGTTCGCCTACTCGTTGCATACACTTGCTCATAAGTTTTAGAACATGCATGGGAAGGGCATCGTAGCAACTAAAGATATAGTTGAATAAAATAGGTGTATTCCAATTATTTCCACGATTCAACACAATATACCTGTATCATAGTTTCCGTAAGCGCGACGCCATGACTGACACAAACTCACACACAATGATGACGGCACTTCTCCTCATTTCTGACTACTGCCCTTGGTCACAATGAAAACAGAAAGAAAATAACAACCAACAGATTGTCAGAACATGTCGGACTACTTACATGTCACATTTATGCATATACGTTGCTTGAAACAACGAAAGTTTCGTCACAAAAATCCTGTGTACTCAACATGCCATTTTGAGAAAGTCGCTTCCTGATATTGATGTCATACGTACATCAACATTGTTATACATATTTGATATTTCCATTGAGGTGAAGTTATGAATGAAAATCGATCATTTCTATCTTGCTGCCTACATTGTCAGTTCTAATGCTTCTTTCGTATTTTACATCCGTGTTTTTGCGTGATTAATGTCAGAATTTACATCTTTTGGCTTTGGGACTAGACAGGAGACCAGTCTAAATCAGCTGGCACCAATTACGTCATAACCAAAGGGAAGTAACTCTGGCCTGTTTAGCTCGGCAAACTGAGGCCTCATAATGGCATAACATGTCAGCACTTAAAGTGCGGGTTATACATTCATTGTAAGAAAAATTTGTGTATATTTTCAAACACTGATATTAAGTAATTAAAAATCCATTTTGGTTCACATAAGAAAAAACGTGATTTTTTCGTGTACACTTCCCCTTTAAATACACAAAAGACTGACCTGACAACCAGTCCTGCTAACATCATACAACCACTTGTCCCATATCAAAATACTAAATAAGTTTGCATAAAGCTATTAAAACATGGGTAAGTTAACCAGTCATCAGGGGCGGATCCAGGATTTTGGAGAGCTGGAGTGCACATACATCATGAAGTCCAAAGGTTAGGGGGAAATGCTCCTCAGAGAAATTTTTTCAGCAGAGAAGGGGGGATGCACCCCACCTCTGGATCCACCCCTGAGTCATGCATGTTAAACTGAAACCTTAACTTGTAAGCTATAAAGCCTGGATTACTGAAATGGACTTAATAGAGAAAGTTCAGAGAATCTCACTATCTGAATCATATTTACCACAAAAGTATGAATTTATGGTTTGGGCAGCATTTTTATTATTTTTTGTGTTTCTCATCGCCCGACCGACCTTTCTAATTCATTGCCAACCCCCCTTCCCCCTCCAAACTTTTTTTTTTCATTCCAACACCGCCGACCCGAACCTCACAACGTACCGCCTCATCATATCAAATGTTTATCTTAAAATCAGTCGCTGCCACAAGTCAAAGAACACGAGAAATTGTAATAAGAATTACAATAAATGAGAATCAAGAACATAATTCAGATAATTTTGTCTTTATTAAGTGGTTTTTTATCCCAACAGACTGACCCATGTTCAGAATTTGGTGGCTACGTGAAACACATAAAAATAAAGATGCCCTTTAGAAATCATGTCTAATCAATTTCTTCAGTATTCATCTGTATAACCTGTTAGAAACAGCAGATTTTGTCACCCGTGACTGTATAGACCCAGAGGTCGAGTTTTTTATTTGATTCTGAGGAGCAGTCCGTGATGGCTGTGATCTTGTTGATCCACTAAAACCAGAGACAAAAGAGAATGTCATAAATATCCATCAACCATGTATAGACACCATGAACAAGAACCACAATTCATAACAGTGAGTGGGTGAATACGGTATTATACAATATTCCAGCAATATCATGGTGGGCAACACCAGAAATAGACATCACACATTGTACCCATGTGGGGAATTGAACCTGGGTCTTGTACTGACGAGCAAACGTATTAACCATTAGGCTACCTCTCCATCCCACAATTCATAACAGATTGCGGAAGTATCCATGGTGATAACAAGTCCTTACATTTTTTTATTGTGCTTCTAGTCCCAAACAACAATTGAACACTTCAAACCATGACAGTAGATTTATGCATCTCAACATCCTAAATAACCATTTAGAATTGGCCTTTAACAACTCATGCTTTTTGTAAGAGGAGACTAGTGGGTCTGGTGGTCAGGCTCCCTGACTTGGTTGACACATTGTCATCATATCCCAATTGCATATATCAATGCGTGTGAAGTCAGTCAGTGAATTGTTTGGTCCAGACTTGATTATTTACAGTCTGCCATAATATAATGGGAATATTGCGGAGTGTGGTGTAAAATAATAAATAAACAAACACGCTAAACAACAAGTTAGAATATCATATGTTTACTCAATAGTCATATTAGATCCAAAATCTGCCACCAATATTTCTGATGTTGGCCTTTTTTGATGGGCATTTGAAAGAACAAAAAAGGATTAAGTGTCTATATAGCAATCAGAAAACATATATCATCCAATATGTAAAATATTCTTGCTTACATTGGGATTATTTCAGTATTTATACAGCACAATATGTTTTAGTGCATTCTGTAATGCCACATAAGACGTTATGGATTGATAATTTGTTGATGATGGCTAAAAGTGAATGCAACAACATGATAGCTAAAAGTGAATGCAACCCATGATGAGAAAGATATATGCATAGTATGTAGTGACAAGCAGCAGAGTAACAATAACAACAACAGGTAATTGATAACAAATAGCATATAATTGAATCAGGCAAGGCAGAGAGTAAGATTACTAAGAAACAACAAATAACACAAACCATGAAGTCATTATACAGGTAAGATAAATTTGTAAACAAGCTGATTGGATGCTTATAGATTGATTCTAGTCTATCACTTGATTACCTCTTCATAGGCCATTATTCATAAAGTGGTTTGTTATTAAGTCACCAAATTCTGGAATGACAATCAAGCAATTAACCGATTCTGGTTAACATGAACATTATTCATCATTACTAGCTGTAAAACAAACAAGAATTAAGGTTCACAGGTACAAAAAAAAGTGTAAATTATTACCTCTCCTTATTTTTCTGAAGTGTTTTGGTGTGAGTATTTTTCTCCCGCAATGGCTTTGTGGACTTGAAGTTTTCCTTTTCCTTTTTCCACTGCTCATATCTTTCCAGATACAATTCTGAAGGAATGAAAAATAGGATGTTGACATGTTAGAAAAGGAAAATGTCTACAAGGGACCGTTCATAATTTATGGTTAGGGGGGACCCGAGATCATCCATTTTGTTCAGGGGAAGTGGGGATTGTCATCAACTTTTTGTACACGAGCTGGAGGGGTCATCAATTCTGAGCATAACAATATTTTGAAATTATGCTTCAAAATTATGGGGGTGGGGGGTTTGAGGTTAATGATTTTGACGGAGGGGGGGTCACTTACTTTGTTTATAAATATTAGAGGGAGGGGCCTTCACATTCTACATGCTACTCCATAAACATCATCATCACCCCCAACCCCACACCACCCACACCCAGCTATAAGTTGTGAACGATATGCATGCTTCAATGTTTAAAAATATGTTTGCAAATAGTTTGTTTCCATTTACTAAAAACATAATGTACAGTCAACATCCTACTGTTATGCTACGACTGTTATTTAAACAAAATGATTATTTTATGGGGACGAATAGTTTACGAGCCAGACACGTAGTGGCATCACACAGTAGGACTTCAAATATCTATAAACGTTCGAGAATAGTAGATACATGTATACTTTTGCCGTTCCAGGAAAGTCAATAACTTAGTGACCATGTGCAGAATTACAGTACAAGTTTCACAACCTCTTTTAGATTTGTTTTCCATTCCTTCCTGTTGCATTTTCCTTGTGAACTGTCTATTTGAATGTGACTACGTCGATGTTTTGGTTTTCGTACTTGGCGGTAACGGGCACAATTTGATTTGATTGGTCGATATTGAATAAAGGGGTATAACTCTAGTTACTTTAAAATGTATTCAAGAAATCGATACGGCCTATTAATATGAGTTCGAACCTCGTTCGAAAAAATAATACCTTTTTTATTTTCCAGATTGATTTATCTAAGAGACAAATGACATTTTGTGATAAGTTGTTGTAAAAAGGGGGTGAAAATGATAAGCAGTATCGTAGATTTGGGGCGAAAACTTAACAAAGCGACATGCACTCTGATGGTAGGTCTTTAAACTATCAATAAAATGCCAGTTATGTCTCTTTGATGCCATGGTTAAGCCAATTCTGTTATACAGCTGCGGAATCTGGGGTTTTAAAAACTGGAAATCTATACAATCTGTTCGTGTTAACTTCTTACGCAAAGTACTTCCCGTTAAGACTGACTGAGTTTGGTTTTACGCCGCTTTTAGCAATATTCCAGCAACATCACGGCGGGGGACACCAGAAATGGGCTTCACACATTGTGCCCATGTGGGGATTCGAACCCTGGTCTTCGGCGTGACGAGCCAACGCTTTAACCATTAGGCTACCCCACCGCCCTCTTCCCGTTAAGAGGGTTAGGTCTACTAATGCCTACAGTGAATAATGCCTACAGGGAATAATAGCTACAACGTTTGCAGTGACAGCGATACGCTTACCTGCACACAAGTAGATTGTTCCACTTAGTGTGCACTATTGCCTACAAAGGGATTAGGGGAGGCCAGCAAGGAGAGTAAAGAGTAAGATCAACAGTATTAAATCGTTAGCTAGCTTATGTTTTGATGACCTATGATGAGATGCTGTTGAGACCGTCTTCCCCAACTGCGACGTCCGTGGATGCTATTTCCACTACAGCCAGGCTCTCTGGAGGAAAGTACAGAACCTCGGCTTCAGCGAAGCCTACCAGCAGGATCCTGAGGTCCACAGATGGGTCCGACGAGCAGCAGCACTCCCCCTCCTCCCAGTGGCCATGGTACAAAATGCCTGGATAGAGGTCATGGACGACGCCCCTGCCATTGGACAGAAGGATGAGTTCCAGGACTACATCACCAGCACCTGGGTAGACGACCATGCACGGTTCCGAGCCGGACTATGGAATCACCACGACACCAGCGGCCCAAGGACGAACAATCATCTCGAGGGTTGGCATTCGCATCTCAACAAGACCGTCCAGAGAGCCCACCCGAACATTTTCGCTCTTGTGAAGGTTCTGCAGAAGCTGGAGAAAGCGGAGAGAAATAAGCTGGTGCAGATGGCTCATGGCGCCCGTCCCCACCCGCAAGAGGACGTACACAGAAATTGACCAGAGACTCACTCGTCTGAAGGCCCAGCTGACATCTGGTATCAAGACACCCCTGGAATTCCTGACTGCTGCAGGATATTTGATCAAGCTAGCTTGAAAACCAAATGACTATGTTGATGAATGTGTGAAACTGTGTGTATACATGTAAATTACTTTTGGTTACCACAATGACTTTATTAATGATTGTGGTAGTTGACTGTGTGAAAGATGTATATATGTATATATAATCATGAATCAAATTAAGTTTTAATTACATTTTAATCCAAATAAATGATTATGTTTATTTATGTAAATTTATTTATCTCAAAACAAACTACTATGTGAAAGATATGAATAAAGTTTAAGAAAATTAAGAAAAATATGACAACAATGTGAAAGATATGTATATGAATGTACATATGTATATGAATGACCAAATAAAATGTCTCTCAACATAGAAAGTTACTGTTTTCTATATACTGTAGGCATTAGTGCACTTTGAAATAGGACCATGCCACTTTATTGAAAGGTTGAAGGCAGGTGCAATCAGCAGCACTGGTGCGTAAAGTTGTTTATTTAACACTGTAGGCATTATTCACTGTAGGCATTAGTAGACTCCACCGTTAAGAGAAGCACGCCATTATACATGCTATTTGGAGAACTTTCAAGGGTACCCCTAATTAACTCTGTCAAATGTCGTATGGTATGTTTCTGGGCTAGACCCCTATCTGGTAAAGAACAAAAACTGTCAAGAATTTTATGCCAAATGTTATACAATGAAGCCTGTAGAAACAATAGCAATCAAAAATGGATAAAATCTGTGGAAGCCGTCTTTAATGAAACCGGCTACAGCTTCTACTGGCTAAGTCAAACAGCTGTCTCTCCCAATGAAATTAATACTATTATCTGCTAACATGATATAGCAACCCAAACATGGCGCGCAGAGATTTCGATTTCTTCTAAAGGTACAATGTATCGCGTATTCAAATCTGAACTTGTCTTTGAAAAATATCTCACATATATCCCTTTCTCCTTGGCTCTTACATTTCTCTCGTTTAGAACTTCCTGCCATCATTTACTTATAGAAGTAGGTAGGTGGCATAAAATTTCACCCCAAGAAAAAAATGTGTAACCTCTGGGACACGTGTGATGTTGGCGATGAATTTCATTACATTTTCTCTGCCCTTTCTTCAACGAATTGTTGAACTGTAAACGAATTAGTGTTTTAAAAAAAATGTGTATATTTTTTAGTACTATCATGAAAACTGTACAATCTTCCTTGTACACCGTCCTGCCATTCCATGTATTCACATATATGTACCTTTCATGCCGAGTACCCCGGCCTGAGCGTAATAAAAGTTCTGTTCTGTTCTTCTGCCTGCGTCTTGGACAGTCTGTAAGTTCTTCTCAGATTGAAAACAATGTCATCTCAAGACGAAAGCATCACAGTTTATCAGTTGGGTATGTTATGTGGTAGGGCTGGGAGAGGTGCAAATTTTCTACCCGGTACCCCATCCCCTATTACCCTACCCTATCTTACCCGGATACCCATTATGTTAAGTCCTGACATCAAATTTGCAAGAAATGGCAATATATTCCTCAGCTCGGAGGCTAAAATTTCGAGTTTTTCAATATCTTAACCATGTATTATATTCAAAAGAAGTGACTGTAAATTTTGTCTAAATCTTCAAAGACAATACAACATTTTCATCATGAAAGAATAGCATATTACATTGTTTAATCTATTAGTCACATGATCATAACCAGGTATTGAGACGGGTACCTGGGTCCAACTCATTACCCACCCGTCCCAGCCCTATTATGCAGGTGTATGACGTTTACAACTGGTTAATTCCACGAGCATGGTTCTGGCGTTGACAAACCTGGAGACACAATCGGCACGAACCAACTTTAGTCAGAGATTTGCAGCGTCGAAGATCATATGGGCACAAAAAGTAAGTAATCAAGCAAATGAATTTTGTTTACCCTACAGTGAGCAGAGTAGCATCTATATCACGGACCTCTACATGATCTTGTCCGGACCAGGATTACCCGTGAAAGAAAATAGTAGAAATAATCCACACCAACGGGGTATGATGATCAACACTCAACCAGGTCATCGACCCAAATCTCCAGATCCTCTCCAGTCAACCCGTGAAGATCAGGGCCCTTATTCTCGAAATGTTCTTAGCACTAAGAATTCTTAACTTTGATCGTAGCAAATGTGTTAAGAATGGGCTTAATAAGTTCGTAGGGCTACGAACGTTTCGAGAATAGCTAGCCAGGGTTAGAATTGATCTTCAGTAACCCATGCTTGTTGTAAGAGGCGACTAACGGGATCGGGTGGTCAGGCTCGCTGACTTGGTTTACACATTTCATCGTATCCCAATTGTATACAATTACATTTGTATAGATCGATGCTCATGCTGTTGATCACTGGATTGTCTGGTCCAGACATGATTATTTACATACCGCCGCATTATAGCTGGAATATTGCTAAGTAGCGTAAAAGTAAACTCACTCACTCACTCGCTCACTTTTGGCTGATTTCATGTCATCGTACCTAACGGGGGACATTGCTCATGATATCGATCACTGGTTTGTCTGGTACAGCCTCGATTATCTATGTGTGTTTGTTGTTTAACGCCGCAGTCTAACGGAAACCATTATCATAGGCCATAGTTGTACCAGTGAAACAGTGTGGCGTAACGCCAGAAATAAACCAACAATACAGTGTATGATAAGCCACAGATAAGAAAGCAGGAACATACGTGATTCATCATACAATCTCGAATTATCTCATCACTTCTCAAACCGTATTTATTCCCCTGTCGACAAAATAGCAGTGTTCAGTATATGTGTAAATATTGAAAAGTACAGAGCTGAAGATATCATACTGTTGTGATAACCGTAACTTGATAAGTCCATTTACATTTGTTATCTTTTCCCCAGGTTTTGAAAACATTTCCATACTTCAAGTACTTTTTGACACATAATTCCACGTGAAAAGCCTGCTCTACTGTATTTATATTTTTTGTCGTAAACTGCTTGGCATAACTTTATGAGCTCATCTGTCTGTGAATTTCGTCTGTTGCAAAACACGTTTTCCTTGCACAAAATACATAAACCCCAAGGTGTAAAGTTTTAACTCAATACGATCAAAGAAATCAAAGAACCGTGGGCGAGTGAAGCGCTCGTAAAATAATCAGCAATCCCCTAACCTGCCATGGTGGGGTTCGCCAAACAACTTTATTTTCAACTGTAACATCGTATCAATTAATAGTTACTGCATTTGTCAGTCCGTAGACTTGCACAAGTATGTAAGGTAAAAATTAATAGTATAAATGATAATTTCTAAAAAATAATAAATAACAGACTGGGGTCCTTGCACTGTACACTTATCTAAACTTACCTCTACGAAGGATAGAATGACTATGCATCCACCGGCTCAGCATTCAGGACAGCCTTGGAGCAAGGCTAGTCAGTCCGCTATGGATAATTATCTTTAATGAAATAGGTGAGTGAGTGAGTGAGTTTGATTTTACACCGCTTTTAGCAATATTACAGCAATATCACGGCGGGGCACCAGAAATTCATCTCTTTGGGGAATCGAACCGGGTCTTCGGTGTGACGAGCGAACGCTTTAATATTGCTTTGCCACCCCAATGAAATAGGTATTGTTTACTCGTAGCAATAGGAATTTCA